TGAGCTGCTGATGCCCATGCCAGGAAGTGACTTGGACCGCAGCCGCCGACGTCTGGCGTCAGGAAAGATAACGGCCCCACTCGTCACCCTGTGCGAGAGGTCAGACAGTCGGCCAGACGGCCTGTCGACAACCACCCCCCCCCAAAGAAACCGAGCAAAGGGAGGAAAGAACGAGCTATCCACGCTACCACGATCGCCCCTGACAACCTTTAGCCCAGGAGCGCTTTCCCACACGCCCATACCCGTACTGCCCTGGCCGGTGCATGGCAGGACCCGGACGCTGAACCTGGCAACTGGCAAGTGGGAAACTGAACCCGTTCTTGGACTGGGGACTGGGACTGGGACTGGGACTGGGCATGCACGCGAGACTCCTCCTGCGGGCTCTACAGCAACGGCACGGAAACCAGACACCAGAACCATCTCCATCCTGGTCTGCTGGCTCTATGGGCCGTCTCACAAAAACCTCAGCTGCCCCCCTCCACTTGCCTTGACTTCCTTCCTCACCTCCCCGTGAGCTTCACTCTCTCCCGCCATCCTCCTAGTCACACCTCACGACCGTCGACAAGGAAGGACTCCTGATCCGCCCACCCAGTCCATCATCACCCGGACTCGACCCCCATTCTCCCACCAGTGGCCGCCCGTCCTTGTCTTACGGCCAACCTTCGCCTGCCCCTCGACCTCTATCGACAAGAACAGACGTCTCCTTTGGTGGAACAGCTCGTCTGTGCCTTCGACATTTCGATAGAAGGAGCAAGACATTGTGGCATCTTTGACACTCGTTCGAATTGAATCTCGGCCATCGAGGTCCTGACATTCGCTTCACCCCTCAACCCAGCTCCATCGGCGAGTCTCCATCCTCCAATGCGAGCAGCTTGCACGGCACGAAGTACGGACTCGAGCACGACAGCGACATCGACCCTCGATTTCTCCCGCTGTTGATCAGTCTGGCCTCGTCAGATCGAACTATCGAACCTCCTCCACCCATCCGTGCCCCGACCCGACCGGCCAGCCAGCCGACCGACCGACTCGATTGATGCTCCTAGCACGAGCAAGGAGGGCCACAGCATCTTAGGAAGAGAAGTTGCAGCATTCACTTACTGTGACCTCTTATCTTAACGCTCTGCACTCTTTCACGTCACGACATATCGAATATCGTCTTGGACCCGGCGCCCTGTCCCTCATCATCCGTCCTCACTCGTCGTACCGACTTGTTTTCTAGCTTGTCGACAGCATAGACCAGCCCCTCATTACCGCCCACAACAGCCATGATGGAGGACTCTTCGCCGCTCGCCACTATGCACCGCCCAGTGCCGCCCCCTTGGGGTTCGAATGACCTGTTCCGCTCCAACGACATGTTCCGTTCCAACGACATGTTCCGCTCTCACACCCATTCCCATCTGTCAGCCATGGGCCAGTGGTGCCAGCAGCATGAGCCTCCGCGGAGCGTCTGCACAAGCCGGACCCCGACTACTTCACGTGAGGGACGTTCGAGGTCGTCACCTGCGCGAGCTGGCTGCTGACTGTCACAACTTCGTCTCGATGCGGACGGCAGGGTGCGTACTCATAATATGGTCATCGCATGGACCCCTACACGAGCAGCCCACCTTGCCTGACGCTCGTCGTGCTCTATCACATCATCGAGCATGTCCATGTTCGGAGTCGCTGACGACTCACGACGTAAGTGCCTCTCGTTCGGCGCCTCGGTCATCTCAGTTTAGGCTAACGTACTGAAAGACTATGTGACGACCCCGCCTCTGGCCTCGTCCTCTCCTGGACACCTGCACGAGTCTATGGACATCTCTCCTCTCCCGCACAAAACCCCCTTCTGCTCACAGATCGAGGTCACATCGCCAACTCCGTTGTCGACGCCCACGGAAATTGACACTGATGACGAGATGATGCTCGACTCTCCGGCACCCATCACACGCCAGGTTCTGCTGGAGCCTCCCAAACCCATGACTATGGGTATGGGCATGGGACAAGAGTGAGTTGTTCGCTAGATGTCGTGCATTACCCCGCTGACTCGCATGCTCAGGCGCAGAAAAGTCGCCCCTCGCCGCCCCTCGCTCACACGTATGAAGGGCTTCTCGACCTGTGGCGTCACTGGCCGGGCCAATACCCTGACAGATAACCAGCTCCCCACCTTCCGCTTCGGGGCCGGTGAAAGTCGCCTCAATCACATGAGCTCTGCGCTTTCACTTGGCGAGTGCTTCGAGTCTGCATCCCCTCCCCAAGAGAGGCGTCCCCAGACCGCCAACAGCCCCACGGCGGCAGTCCCCGGAGCTCTGCGCTCTCGGGCCCAATTCGCTGGCATGGGCAGCCGGAACGGACCCTGCGGCAGCGGCCACAGCCGACGCCCCTCCAACCCTTTCATGCGCCCCCGCAAGCAGTTCCGCCGCTCCCTGAGCATGTTTGAGCACCCGGCTGATATCATGAAGCCCAAGGCCGAGGACAGCTCGTCTGCTGTCGCTACCGAATTACAGTCTGTCTCCGATGTCGAGAGTGTGCCTGAAGCCGTTCTGCCGCACTACGCCGCGGAAGACCCTTCCGACGCGATCCCGAGAATCTCCAAGGAGACGATGGTGGACGTGCTTGATGGCAAGTACAGCGAGCACTACGACCAGAAGATGATCATTGACTGCCGCTTCGAGTACGAGTACGATGGTGGCCATATTGATGGCGCTGTCAACTACAACAGCAAAGATCTCTTGGCGTCTCACCTGTTCAAGACTCCTATGAAGGGACGGTCATTATTGATCTTTCACTGCGAGTACTCGGCTCACCGTGCACCTCTGATGGCTCGCCACGTTCGGTCCGAGGACCGCCTCGCGAATGTAGAGCAATACCCCAGACTTACCTATCCCGATGTATACATCCTCGAGGGCGGATACAGCGGCTTCTTCGACTCGCACCGCGCGCGCTGCTACCCTCCCAACTATGTCGAAATGTCTGATGAGAACCACCAGCGCACTTGTGAGCGCGAGCTCGGCCGTCTCAAGAATGGCCGCAAGGGCCTCGGCCGCGCGCAAACCTTCGCCTTTGGGCAGCGTGAGTCTTGTGTCGATCAGTCACCTACCGCTCCTCCTGTCTCGAGACCTCGTCTCACGGTCCGCCAAGATCCGATTGCCATGATTGGAAACTCCCCTATCCTCGGTGAACGTTCGTACGCTCACTCGAGGCGGATGGCTTCATACTAAGCCACCACAATCTGCGCTCCTTCGTCTGCAGTACGAATGGAGTCGCTCGTCTTTGCCAAGCAGATGGGTCACCTCACTCCCCCAATCGGCTTTAGCGACGTTTTTTCCGTCGAGCTCCCTATATTCCTCGGGACGATGTGAAGAGCCGTTTCCGAGTGAACCCTTAATAGGGCATATTACCAGCAGCCTGAACCGTGTTCATACCGCCTCTTCTCCCTGCACATACTGGCCCTCGTTCGTTCTGCTCGTTCGCGTTTTGACAGTCTTCCATCGCGGCTAGCAAAAAAAGCGTTGCCTGATTGCGTTCGAAATGATCACCCTACGCTAATTAAGACTCTTTTATGAGCACTTTGCCGGCACTAGACGCATTGGCATACTGTCCTCGGCATCTGCATTGTCTCCTTGCTAAGGAGTCCATTTTTGGATCCGGAATCTGCGATTGGCTCCTTGTCGTGTTCACGCATCTTCTGCTTTTCTTCTTCTTCTTTGTCTCTATTACCGACGGTCGACGCCGATTCAAAGGTGGAGCGAACATCTTCGACGCTTGATTCAGTCGCGGCTTTCAACTCGCGACGTTCGCGTCTCTTGGCCAGGAATCTCCTGCCAACCTCTGCAAGAGGTTTTAAGTTGTTTGACTCCTAACCACGGGCTACTCCTAGCAGCCCTTCTCGACCTGGTCGACCCATGATACCACACACATCTCGCATCCTCTGCTGGATGCGTACGTCCCACGACGCTTATTCCTTAACGACATCTCACAAGAAACAAAAAACAACAATGACAAATCCTCAGGTCGTACCCGCCTCCATTGGCGCGAGATCGACCTTCGACGTTGGTATACACCAACGTACAGTGCAGAGTCTGACCCAGCAAGGGGCAAATATGAAGGAATGCGGTTTTGGTCCGGCATGTCACCTTCCCTCTAGGCTGCTGACCCCGGTGGATAAGACCACTGGCTACTCGCAACCTATTTTTGCTCTGTCAAGCAAGGGCGGAGACGCTCTTGCCTTTTTTCCTGTACAATACTTCTGTGGCAATTGGTGTCATGGGATGACGGTCTACGGATCACTTGACGAGCTGGCCATTACTCTGTACTGAATTGAGGAACTATCGCATATCCAGGAGTGCTTGCCGCGATGTGATACTGTGACTTGTGACCTACGCGAATAACGAGTGGCATGTTGTGTCATTCGATCGATGCATCGGCCAGTCAGACCAAGAAGTCTATCCACCGGGCACTTCAAGGATTGGTACCCTGCTCTCTATGAACATCATGTATGCTCGATCACAGAGATCTTACCCCAAGCGGCGTCCAAGACCCGTTGGCAATCCTCGAGGCGTGAATTGTCTACTGTCCCCGAGGGTATGTATGGCAAACGTTTCGCCGGATGCGGAAAGGCAATCCACGATATATATCGCCACGGCGGTCCACTCCTCCATAGCCAGCGCGCGTTGGTTGGGGGAGGGGGAGATCTTATTGACCCCATGTCTCAGCTGCCGAGGCGGTCGATTCAGATGCAGGATCACAGCGAACTTACACGACGCCACCGTTCCATGCACCAACACTCAAAAGAATCCACAACTAGAAATGCAAATACTTAGACGTGAATTTGCGCGTTAAGGCCCAAAGTGGCGTGCGTCTTGTGTCCTTGCACACACGCCCAACGTAGCGCCGAGTACTGCCGCGTCCAAATGCGGTTTTATTTTGTGTCAGAGCTATGCGTCCGCGACGTGAGAGTAAGAAAGCCCATGTATTGTTTCCCATTGGCAAAAATGATGCACATGTGCAATGAGGAGGAAAAGAAAAACACCGATTCTTGGGGGGAAGGTTATTATCCACACCCCGCCCACTCCCTTTTTTTTTAAGATTCACCCCTCATTAAACGCCGTTCGGGGCTGATGCATTAGGACCTGGCCCCCCCTCCCTTCCCTTCTCCCAAAACGCCGCGTGCTATGATCCAGCGGGGGTCGCTTACTGCTAGGCCTTTCACCCCCGCGTACTCAGTGCTTAGTACCTAGGTAGGTAGGCACCACTGGAGGAACAAACTATGCTGTTGCGGGTGGTAGCGTAAAGTCCCACTCGCGAAAGGCCTCGCGAAAAGCGTCGACGTCGGCCTTTTCCTCGTTCTCAGTCTGGGCGCAGTCCTGCCAGACGAAGCGGTCCTCCAGGCCAAGGAGCTTGGCAACAACGCGGCGAGGGTACTGGAGATCGAAGCGCGGCGCGTCGGGCGCGTCGGGCAGCGGCATGACGAGACACGTGCCCTTGATACGGTCGTCGCCATTGTCGGCCCACAGCCAGAGGCGGAAAGAAGTCGCCGGCGGCCTGCTGGCTCTCGAGCGTCGGCAGGTCGCGGGCCTCGAGGGCCGGGTACTTGCTGTTTTTCGGCCTCGACGCCGGAAACCGGCTTCGACGAGGCCCCTCTGCACGAGGTCGGCCGGCACGGGGGGGGAACTGCCAGTGGCTGTGGATGTTGCGGCCGCGGCTGATCTCCCCCCGTGATGGCGCCGAGCTTGTGGCCGGACTTGGCGGCGACCATGGCCTGGAGGGATTCGCGGAAGCGCGTCATCTCGTCGAGGGTCCGCTGCGCATCGGCTGCCGAGTAGCTCTCGGCGCTCGTGCTCGCGATGGTCGGGGTGTGCGCCATGGGCGTGATGATGATGTGGCCGGGGAAGTTGATGCCGTGCTCGGTGAACGTCGTTGGCTTGGCGAGCGGCCCCTTGGCGGTAGCAAGGTAGCTGTCTTCGCCAATGGTGGCCACCATGTGGAGGGAGAGATTCGGGTTGGACAGGCAGAAGAAGCAGCGCTCCGGACCGGGAGGCGGCGAGCGGTTGCGTCCGCGCTTTCCGCGGTGACGCTTGCCGTCGTGGCTATCGGCGAAACGGCTGTAGGGGGCGTCGTCTAGGGGCTTCCGCTTCGGTACCCTGGCGGCGAACGGCGAGGCCGTAGTGCCGGCAGGTTGGTCGAGCGATGTCGAACCCAGAGATAGGGTGAATGCATACATGGCCTTTGCTTTGGTTGCGTTGCCGTAGGGTGCCATGGAGATGAACCGGGTCACCGGGCGCTCTTCAGAGCCTTCCTTGGGCATGTGGAAGAAGGGGCTCACGCTCGTAGAAGAATTCGGCAGGCGACGCCGTAAAGTGGTAACGAGGTTCGCAACGGGTCGCAGAGGTCTGCGACTTCCTGTGTGCTGGTGGTGAGGGCCTGGTTCTCAGGGATAAGAGCGGTCTTGGATCCGGTCCAGACGCCGGCAGGCCAGACGGTTGTCAGCAGGATATCGGCTTGGCCCGCGCCTTTGAGCGTCTTCGCGTCGTGACCTGTGTGGAAGGGAAGGTGCTGTTCCTTAGATGTGCCCCCCCAAAATCTCCGGATCGAGGTTTCCGCCGAGCGCCACGATACGAACACCATCTGTAGTCTTGGTGACGCTGCGCTTGCCGAGGAAGTGTAGGTTTTCGCATATCTCCTCGTTGGCCTCGATCTTGGCAACGATGGCAGCGGGAAGGGCGGATGTGCCGACGGTGAAATAGGTCGGAAGGGGCACAGCAATCTCGCCGTTCAGTAGGGAAGCCGCGGTTTCATCGTCAGATTCGGCAAAGAGGTTGCCGGAAATGATGGCGAAGTCGAACTTGTTCTTGGAGTGCAAGGTGGCAGCCTTAGTGAAGGCAGGCTTGAGCGCGCCGTTGAGGGCACCAAACACGAGTCTAAAGGTCGTCAATACTGCTCATGAAAGAACGAAGAGGGGATTCCGATGGAGCAAGGGAGGTACTGACACCTTCGGAGCAGCCATATTGCCTGGCTCTGGGGGGGGTTTCCTGCCGTGATTGTCGTGGCTGTCGGTAGGTTGTTCATGGGGGGGGGGTCGACGAGGTGAAAACCAATTGACGTCGATGGGGTCAGGCTTCGCTTCACAGAGCTGTGTTGCGACGGCACGTTCATTGGCTGCAGCCCACCGCAACCCCGAATTTTAGCTTTATCGCACCTCGGCCTTATCGAAGTCTCTCTTATCAGCTTATCAGCAGAGATCAACCCAAATTTTTTGTCCAAGACGACCGAAACGGCGGGGACCCTCGAGTTCGCGATCCAGAGGCGACGTGAGCACGCCAACGTTCTCGCAAGTCAGTCTCGACACCGACCTGCTTCCCCCCCAGTCATACCGCCACAATGCCTGCGGTATCATCGGGCAGGATCACAAAAGCCCGCAAGGGCAAGAACCTGACTCCCCATCAGAAGAACCACCGATGGGAGTCCTTCAGCACCAAGATTGGCAAGCTGCACAGTCTCGATCCCCTCCGAAAAGTGCGACGACACGACCTCGAAACCGAAGACCTCGAGAGCACTACATCCTACTTTCGTACCGGCATCGAGCGATGGAATGAACTCAACATTGCCAAGGACTTCATCTCTTTCAAGCGAGAGACTCTGTCCCTCACAGAAACACTGGCCTCGATCCTGCATCACGAGGACAGGATCTTTGCTTCGCTGTCCCACTACATTTCCAACCAGGAGAAGGAGTCCTTGGAGCCTCTTCTGGACCTCCTGACGGCGTTCGCCCACGATCTCGGAACCCGCTTCGAGAAGTACTATGCCCGATCGCTAGACCTCATCGTTGCCATTGCCGGCAAGCCACAGCCTGTGGAGGTTGTCGAATTCACATTCGCTGCCCTCGCATTCCTTTTCAAATACCTCTCACGCTTAATCGTCCCTGACATCCGACCTACCTACAACGTTCTTGCACCCCTCTTCGGCAAGACCCGACACCCGCCCTACATTGCCCGGTTCGCCGCCGAGGCCACCAGCTTCCTCATCAAGAAGGCCGCGGCGCCCGCGAATCGAGAGACGGCCCTGGTCGACATTATTCAACATGCTCGAGACGATCTGCTCAGCATGTCGGGTGAAAGGCAATTTCAGTTGTATCAAGACGGCATCATGACCATGTTTGCCGAGGCCATCAAGGGCACCGGCCAGACAATGCACTCGACTGGTCCCGTCATCTTCAAGGCCCTCCTCCGTGCCGTGCCCGAGTACGAGCTCAACCTGGCGCAAAACACACCCTGGACCGATGTCATCTGTGGCGTTCTCACCAGTGTCATTCATCACACAACCCCCGACACGTTCCCACCCATGCTCGAGGCCATCCAGGCCGAGGCGGAATACGCGCTGGAGCAAAAGGTCCAGGATCAGCCCTGGAGGTTTGTGCCACTGATCAGGATCATCGCAACCGCCGCGGGCGTGCGCAGTGGAGAGCGAGTCAACAACTGGTCAACCCTCGTGCGGACTCTTGTCACAATGCTCGACCTGACTGCCAAGCGTGGACCCGAGATTTCTCCTGCTGACAGTAGTCTCGTGTGGAAGCACGTGGTCGCCAATGCTGCCGTGGTCTGGCACGCCGCTCCGATGGATGCCCTCTTCTCGCAGATTAATGATTTCATGAACGCGATGCAGAGGGACCCCTTGATGCGGTGGTTCATCCCATTCTGCGCCTACTTTTCAGAGTTGGATCCCCAGCGATTCCGCAGCTTGTTTCGCGATCCTTTCAAGAAGTTCATCAACAGCCACTGGTCTGATGGACACAATGATGACGAACTGTGCATCTTCCTACCGAAGATGGTCAAGGCGCACAGCTTGCCGGCCCCTGGCGATAAGGAAACCCTCATGTTGCCCCAGACATGGGAGGGCCAGATTGTGGAAAAGTTCGAGCGTCTGGAGGCCTCGCCCTTTCCTGAACGTGGAACTTATGACAAGGACCCGCAGACGTGGAGAGACAGGTGTCTTCCGAAATACTCGATACTGTTGGATCTTCTTGACAGCACCACCGTCCGCCCTTTCGCCACGGCTAAGCTAGCCGATCTGCTCCTCCGAAAGCTCAAGCTCGCGCTGAGGCCTACATCGACTCTGGCGTCCGACGAAGTCCACTTCAGTGTCAGCCAGGGTTTCCTCGCGTACCTTCGCATGTGCAAGGTGGCTGGTCCCGTGGATCCTGGCCTAAAACCCCTGCTTCGAGCAGCGCTGCCAAGGTTTAGCAAATCCATCGGGTTCCTCGAGGCCTATCTTGCCTACCAGCAAGCTACCAAAGACCAGCCGTCGACCGAGCGCCGAGACAGCAGCAGCAGCAGTGAGGGTTCAGGAACAGAAACGAACCCGGTCGTCAAAGCGCTCATCGAGAACCTGTCATCGCCATCTCATGACCTACGACTCGCCACCTTGAGGATCCTCGGGCAGCTCGATTCGACTCCCGATGAGCTCTGCTGCCTGGAGGTCATGACCGACATCGAAAGCTCCCCCCTTGAGCTAGCGACCCTCCGAAATCTCGCCATGTACATCCGCAAACTCGGCCAGACCTATGCTTCACTAACCGAGGGCTCGTGGCTCCGCCAAGCTATCCCATCCTTCATGTTTGGCATGATGAGTCTCAAGCTCACACCGCTCTGGAACGATGCGACATCCGCCATGAAGCAGATTGGGGAGACCAAGGAAGGCGAAGAGGCACTCCTTGCTCTTGCCCTTGACTGGCTCGACGTGCCTTCCACAAGAGGTTCAGGTCCAGGTGGCCCCCCCGCGGCCCATCGTCGCGCTGCGCTCACCGACTTTGACTGTACCAACCTGCAGCATCTCGTAAGCCAAGCCGACGAGATTCATCAGACGGCGGAGAATGCCCTTGATCTCATGCTCGAGTCCTTTGATAAGCAACAACAAACTGTCGACACGCGCCCGGCAAATGCCCGTTCTCAGGCGCTGAAAGTCCTTGCCGCCATGCCTGCCCTTGCTGAGAAGCGCTCTCGCAAGCTGGTGCCGTATTTCCTGTCGTGGGCCGCCGAGCCCGAAGTCTCCAGCGACAATCAAGCCTCTTCCGAAGAGGAGGACAACGAGCATGCCTCCGGTGCCGAAACGTGGTCTTTCTACGACCGCAAGGGCATGCTCGGCGTTTTCGATCAGTTCATCAACCCGCGGTCCCTCTATGAGAGCGAGAAGGTGTACCGGGCGCTGCTTCATCTGATGGAGAACGGTGATATAGAGGTGCAAAAGTCAGCTCTCAAGGCCATTCTTGCATGGAAGCAAGCAGGTGTCCGCGCCTACCAGGAGAACCTCGAGTATCTCTTGGACGAGGCAAGATTCAAGAACGAGCTGACTGTTCTCATGCAAGGCGAGCAGTCGATCAAGACTGAGCATCGAGCTGAGTTGATGCCTGTCCTCCTGAGGCTGCTTTACGGCAGGACAATTTCTAAGAAGGGCGCCGCAAGTGGTCGGCACGGCTTACAGGCCACACGTCTCGCGGTGTTGAGAAACTTATCTCCTGAAGACTTGGGTGGTTTCTTAAACATTGCCGTCGGCAAGTTGAAGGGGGTTTCTGTCATTGATGAGTCTGGTCTCCGTGACAATGTCCTCGATGGAGAGATCATGCCGCCGCGGAAGCAAGTCGGTTTCCTCAACATGATGCTCCCCTTCATCAACGAACTCGGAACCGATGTTGAACCCTACATCGAAACGATTCTTAACGCCGTTCTCTACTGCCTCATCAATGCCTGCCGCAAGCTGCATGACTTGGCTGCCGAGGTTGAGACCGAATCGGACGAGGAAGACAAGGAGGCCACGCATGAGTCGCTCCTCAAGGTTGTTCGCACTACCGGCCTCAAGTGCCTCATCTCCCTCTTCCGCAATGCGCCCGAATACGCTTGGGATCGTTACTCCGAGCCCATTGTTGCCGAGATCGTTACACCCAGAGTCGCGAATCTTCCGCTTGAAAACACTCAAGGTGTTTCTGGACTTCTGCAACTTCTCTCCATCTGGTCTCAGCTTCCCAAGTCGGCTCTCTTCCTCGGAATCAACAAGGACATCCTGGCCAAGATCATCGAGTGCGTCTCGGTTGCAAAGAGCAAAGACGAGGTCAAGGTCTTCTGTCTGGGCATTGTCCGTAACCTCATCAAGCTTTCCAAAGCCTCGCCCACCGAGTCGGAGTTCAACGAGCTCATCTACGTAGAACTGCTCGGCCCCAACGTTGACTTCCTGCTGAAGCACATTACTGTTGCTTTGAAAGCAGAGACGACCGGCGGTGCCCTTCTCGACGCATGCCTCGAAACTGTCGTTGAGATCTCGCCTCTCGTGGAAACATCGGAGAACGTCCACGAGGTCTTGCAAATCTCAATCTTCCTCCTCAACCAGCCCGCCAGAAAGGTCAACCCTCGAGCCAAGGGTCAAATTCTGCTCATCTTGGAGCAATTCGTGACGCTGCACGAAGCCAACGGCGTCGATCTCGGACCCACAAGCGATCTCTTCACAACCATCTTTGAGACTGTGTCTGCGCTGTTCAGCTACTTCAAAGACAAGGAAAACAGGGAATCCCTATGCCGACTCCTCATCATCTTGTCCAAACAGGACACCGCCCTCGACGAGGTGGCTGGCATTTGCAGTGCCATCAACGCCTTTGTGCCCGAGCGAATCGAGGAGCCCGACTACGACCAGCGCCTGCAGGGGTTCAACCAAGTGTCTGGCAAGACCGACGCGTTCAACGCCAGGCAATGGCTTCCTCTGCTTCACAACCTCGTGTACTTCATTCGAGAAGACGAAGAATTCGGCATCTTGACTTCCAACTCGGCCGACGGACTACGAACCTTCATCCAGGAAGTGGCCTCGACAGAAGACGTTGTGCCGAGGGAAGCATTCTACTCTCACATGTCCAAGATTGTCCTGCCAGCACTGTACTCCGGCGCCCGCGAGTCTTCTTCAACTGTTAGGCGAGAGACTCTGCGTGTCTTTGGCTTCCTTGTTTCACAGATGCCGACATGGGAGTCGGTTGCTGACCTCAAGGGTCTTCTGAACGAGGACGACGAGGAACCTTCCGAGCCAGCTTTCTTCTTCAACATCCTGAGTCCCGCCACATCGCGACAGATGGAGGCTCTCGAGATCCTAGTCGCTGCCAACGAAGCCCACGAGTTCAGCAGTCAAAACCTTTACCACTTCTTCATCCCGATTCTGGAGCACTTCATCTTTGGTCGAGCCGAAGGTGCCGATGATCACGGCCTCGGAGCCCAGGCTTCGCTCACAATCGGCACTCTCGTTGCGTCTCTCGACTGGAAGCACTACCGCGTTGTGCTGCAGCGATACATAGGCTTTGTCGAATCGAAGCCTGAGCAGCAGAAGCACAGCATCCGTCTCCTCGCCAAGGTTGCCGATGCTCTAGTACTTGCTTCGGCGACAAGGGATGGAGAAGCAATGCAAGTTGATGACGCGGAGAGCAAAGCCGCTCAGAAGCGTCTTGCTCTCACTATGCCTCGCGAGAACCTTGCCAAGGATTTGACCAACAACTTCTTGCCGTCTCTGATCAAGTACCTTCACCAGAAAGACGACTCGGAAGTCAGTTATCGTGTACCTGTCGGTATCATTATCGTCAAGCTCATGAAGCTCCTGCCTCAACAGCAGATGAGCCAACGGTTGGCTGGTGTCCTCACCGACATCTGCCACATTCTGCGAAGCAAGAACTGGGAATCTCGAGACTTGGCCCGCGACACGTTGGTCGAGATTGCGAGCATCCTTGGTGCCCCATACTTTGGTTTCATTCTGAAGGAACTGCGCGGCGCGCTGAAGCGAGGCTACCAGCTGCACGTTCTGTCCTACACCATGCATTCCATGCTCCTGAAGGTCATCCCCGAATTCGAGCAGGGCGACATTGACTACTGTCTTCCGTCGATTGTCACGGTTATCATTGATGATATCTTTGGTGTTACAGGTCAGGAGAAGGACGCAGAGGGCTACATCAGCCAGCTGAAGGAAGTCAAGGCCAGCAAGAGTCAAGATTCGATGGAGCTCATTGCCAAGACTGCGTCCGTGAGCCGCCTGACGGACCTCATCCACCCTCTCCGATCGCTCCTATTGCAAAAGGTCAACCTCAAGATGGTCCGCAAGATCGACAGTCTCCTGATGCGCGTCACGACTGGCCTTCTCCAGAACCCCGCCGCCGAAAGCCGCGACACGCTCGTGTTCTGCTACGAAGTTGTGCAGGATGTCTACAAGAGCCAGAAGCCCGAGGCCGAAGCCAAGATTGACCCGAGGCTCAAGAAATACCTGTACCAGAAGGGTGTCAGGAAGAGCGACCGGGAGGCCAACACCAAGCACACGTACAAACTCGTCAAATTTGCGCTTGACATTCTTCGCGCCGTCTGGAAGAAGTACGATAGCCTGCGTAACGAAACGAACATTAGTGGTTTCGTGCCGATTCTTGGTGACGCGGTCGTCGTGGGTGAGGATGATGTCAAGATTGCCGCGTTCAAGCTGCTCAATGCCCTGTCCAAGGTGCCGTTCAGCACGGATGAGGCTACTGGTCTTTACAAGGTCGCAACAAAGGAGGCTACAAAAGCCATCTCACTCTCGCCGACGACAACCTCTGAGCTCTCCCAGTCGGCGCTGAAGCTGTTGTCCGTGGTGCTCCGGGACCGACGCGATGTCGTGGTCAAGGACGCTGCTGTTGACATGCTTCTGAGCAAGGTCAAGGAGGACCTCACGGAGCCTTTGTACCGCCACATCACGTTCAACTTCCTGCGGTCTGTCCTCGACCGCAAGATTGAGACCGCAAACGTCTATGACACTCTAGACCATGTCGGTACGGTCATGATCACCAACGACGACAAGGACACCCGTGACCTGGCACGGGGCGCCTTCTTCCAGTTCCTACGGGAGTACCCCCAGAAGAAAGCCCGATGGCGAAGCAGCTTAACTTTGTGGTCGCCAATCTCAAGTACGACAGAGAGGGCGGCAGGCTGTCCGTTATGGAG